GAACCCTTCGCAACCCTCCAAACGAATCACCACATACTATGGCAAATCTCATAAAGCCAGCGTTCGAGGTCATGGTTGGGGTTGGGCTCAGGATTTCAGCTGGAGTTGGGTCATGTGGGTCTGTCCCTGAAATCCCGTGAACAAAAAGTATACCAGGGCAATATGCTCTCAATACCCTGAGATCTGCATCATGCTTATCAGCTGCCGTCTTGCCACAAGGTCCACAGTCAACACCACAGCAGACGATGGCAGCATGTGACTTACTGATACTTACTGATCCTTCTCCGACGAATGCTGCGTCTACAAAGTGTCTACAGCCTGCAACAAGACAGCCTGAAGCTAGCAGCAAAGTGAAGCAAACCAAGAAAGCTGAGTCTTTTGTATGAGTACGTGGACGTAACGATCTTTCACAGAAAAGCCTTGCAGAGCTGCGGAAAAGATGGGAGTTGCGAGACGCGTCTTTGTCTTGCTGGCTCTGCCAATTCTGCTGGGAGTTTTCTTCTCACCCGACCCCAAGCTACTGCTCGGAGCTTTCGTCGGTAGACATGTTCAGATTGCTCGAAGCTGGGAGCTGAAGTGCTGCTTGGAGGTTCATGGGTATTGTCATTGCCAGATGCAACACAAATTGCCAGTTTGCATTTTGACTTTACCAATCCACGAACCTCCAAGCGTTTGTTTTTTTGTTTTTGTAGTAAGAGCGCCTGGCTGCAGGAGGTAGCATCAGAAACACCTCAGCATACGATTACGGCGATGCCTTAAGAACCTGATCCACAGTACAATCCCTAAACCAGCAGAATCCCGAGTTGGGGCCTTGTCATAAGGGCCGGAACCAGAACCATTGGAAGCAAACTCCAATTGAACAACATGCAGCTATTTCTTTTGATTTGTACGCGTTGCCAATGTGGTCTTTCTCTGGTGGAGCCCAATAGAAGGGTTGTGGGAACCGTTGCATACTTGCGACCATCACCATTTTGTCGATTTTTCTTACTGCCTGAGTTCACACGAAAGTATTACTCTTGTCATGATATTGCCTTCTTCGCGCATCGATCGTATTTCGTGTTCTTCCTCTTCTCCTTGCCAGCGACCGATACGGTGAGGAGATCTGGCTGTCGTAGACTTACTGAAGTTCTGATATTCCCTGCACATGCAGCATGCGTGCCCTGAGCTCATCCTCAGTCGCTTCTGGCACTCCTTCGTAAACCCCAACTGTTTTGCATGCGGTGCTAGGAAACTTGGCTGGCATCTTCTTCTTTGTCCTGGCGATAAAGCCAGAGACAGCGCACCCGCAGCTGGCGGCACTGGAGCACGTCATGCAGGGGATGAAGGCCTTGCCGTGGAATTCGGGGTCGGCATGTGCAGTTCAGGAACTAGAGATTGCAAGCCATTCGGCACAGGAGTCTATCAGTAGTGCTGGATGGAGCATTTCGGAGTGAAAAGAGTAGGCGTCAAGAAGTATAGCAATATGGCTATAACGTTTCTTTGTGTGCTGGGCCCCCCCCAAAACCAAAAGCAGCAAGAACAACAAAAGGCCCGATCTTTTTGAAGTTGTCACGTATGAGCCTGAACAGTTCGCAACAATTTTGTAATGGATGGCATGCAAACTACCCCCAGTTTTGATTCAGTTTAGACGACTATCAGAGTGACTATCGTAGTCTTCCAAGGGCGTTGCTGGCCTTATGTTTCCCAAACTTCTTTTGGTTCCCCAGGCATACAAAGAGGAAGCCAGCGGGCCTGGCAGTTCCGCTGTGACACCCCTGGATCGTGCGATAGACCTGGTCGATGATTTCGGCTGGAATAAAGGCTTCCTGATCAACGTCGGGGATGTGAAGGGCAAGATCTTGGATTCCGCTGTACAGCAGAGGCTCCAGAATGGACCGGGGAAACTGAAGCTGGCTGTGGAGCTGGGAACCTTCCTGGGTTATGGAACGCTGCGATTGGCGCGCATGCTGAACCAGTCGGATGTCGAGATCATTACTGTGGATCCGGATGTTTTCGCGTACTCATTGTCTAGCAGCCTCTACGAACAAGCTCAGGTACGAGACCGCATCACCATGAAGACGGACTACTCCTACAACGTCTTCGCAGAGCTGAAGAAGCAAGGAAAGCAGATCGACCTCCTCTTTGTGGATCATGCCGCTCCAGCTGTGTTTGGAAGGGGCTTGCTTCTTCCGGGCTTAGTCACTTACAGGTTTCCAACCGTGTGGGCTGCAAGGAAACTGAGACGCCACCACCCCTAGACTGCTCACGGCACGCTGTCATCTGTTCCACAAACCCTGAGAACGCGTTAGCTTGACGCGTTGCACCATGAAGAGCCTTGCAACCAGAACCTCTAGACTGAACCAATCGGCAGCCGCCCATACCTTCAGAAGAAATGGCTTTAGCTGGGTAAGGTGAAGAAGCTCTACCTTTCAGATGTAAAGCTTGCAGTGGAAAGTGGGATCTTGGCAAAGGGATGCGTGGTCTCTTGGCTGAACCGGCAAAGCTTGTTCCAGGCTGTATGCAGGAATCAGGCAGCTGCTTGCTTTCAATATAACGGAAATTCATTCCGTCTGGTTTAGTGTAGCCATCTGTAGCTTATCTTTGGATTGCGCAGGCTGGGTGATCTCACACCCTGCAGTTTTTTAGGACTGAGAGCCTTCAGGTGGTTGGGGACAACATCCGTTCACCCGGGGCCCCGGATTACAAGAAGTACTTGCTGGAGGGCGAGGGGAAAAAGCTCTTTAGCACGGAGGCCCGTCGTCGCATGGGGAGGAGGTGTCGGTTCGCAGCTGTGGATTCGAAGGTTTCAGGGTCAAAGAGGGGCCTCAAGAGTGCATGCAGGGTGTTGGGGTAGCTCGAAGTTGTACATGCCCGATTAGGGTGCTAGCTTTAGAGTTACAACAATTTTGTTTTACTAGATGAGAAGTTGGTGCCCATATCTGCAAAAACATCAGATGCAGTCTGTAGGGAGAGAGGTTAGGGTCCGCCGTCAAGAGTCTAGGATTTAAAGCTTTGGTATCCAGGCTGTTAGACCTTTGAAGTTTGGCACCTTCAGGTTTTGCGGAGTTTACGGTTCATGGCTGGGGTCTCCAGGCATTCGGCTATGGTTTCTTCAGTCCACTTCTGCACATGTAGAACACCGACTGTACTTGGAGGAGGCAGCCCAGGCATTCTCACAGACAATTGTCTTCTATCATGTCTCGCAGGTAGTAGATTTATATTGCAAGGCCAGGTGTTGGGATTGTGCTCTGCTGGTGGGTAGCAAGATGGAGTGCAAGTCGTGAAAACATAAAGCCGCAGGTACACAAGACTCATGTTGAGTACTGGCCCTTATGGCCGGACGAGATGACGGTCAGCACGTTCCTTGGATGAGCAGGCTGGCATCTGTCGGGCATTATGTCTCGTGTACACCGACTGGGTGTAGCACTGCGACAATCTTGTACCCCAAAGCAGACCAGCCCTGAGCCATGGCTGTGGGAACAGCGCACTTGGTAACGCAGTCTGGCTCTGGGAAAGGTGCAGGCTGTCCTTTTCGTGCATTTGTAAGTCCAGCGGTTTAAATGCTATGCCCCTAACACCCTCCCCGACCTCTCATGAGACTGACCACACAAGTTGGGCAGTTAC